AAAAAAGAAAAAAGAAAAGTTTGCGGAACAGAGCGGGCACCCCATCAAGACTGCTCCAGTCAGCGAACTGGCCAGGGTGTTCTTTTTCAATTCACAATTTTGGAACAGAAATAAACAGCTTTGCAAATGCCTGTAGAGAAAACGCGCAGCCCTGGTCTGTCGGTCTAAGCTCAACACTGATGTCTAAGTTTTGGGGGCAAGGAGACGGTCTTGCCTGGAATACAGCAAGCGATCTGTCATGTGTGTTCCTAAACTCAGGAAAGAACCACTGGCATTTCTATCAATTGTCCACCTGATCCCTTCTTTACATGAATTTGCCTTAGAAAAGTCTTCACCAGACACAAACTGGCATTTAACAAAAAAGAGGGAAAATGGAAACAATAAGGTATCATTTCTTACTGCCTGGAAAGGCCACGGATGAGCTGAGTGTGAGGCAAATAGAAGGAAATCAGAAGGCTCACAGCTGACAAGGGTGTTAATTGGAATAAAGTCGTGGAGGGCGATTTGACAATTTGTAGCAAAATCCATTTAAAGTGGCATACCTCGGGACCCAGAGTTCCTCCTTTTAGACCTTTACTCCAGGGATTTGGCAAATATGAACAAAAATTTTGTGAGAGGATTATGATTCCTGGTTAAAAGAGGAGCGTGTACGCTAAGTAGTAATGAGCTGGCATGAGCTGACATCATCCTTTGTAAGAACTGCATTTTGTATCTGGGTGCAGTGGCTCATGCCTGTAATTCCAGCACTTTGGGAGGCTGAGGCCAGCGGATCACCTGAGGTCAGGAGTTCAAGACCAGCCTGGCTAATATGGCGAAATCCCGTCTCTACTAAAAATAAAAAAATTAGCTGGGCATTGCAGCGCACACTTGAAGTCCCAGCGACTCAGGAGGCTGAGGCAGGAGAGTTGCCTGAACCCAGGAGGCAGAGGTTGCAGTGAGCCAAGATCATGCCACTGCACTCCAGCCTGGGTGACAGAGTGAGACTCCATCTCAAAAAACAAACCAAACCAAAACAGAAACAAAAACAAAAACAAAAAACTGTATTTTGGACAGTTGCATTCTGTTGAATAGTCTTCCAGAGTTTCCCTAACAGTGATTTGCTCTAGACTATTGTATTGTAGATAATACAATGCTCTAGACTATTGGATTGTAGATAATAGTTTCCTTTGCTTATCTACAGTTTTTGTATTTTCTATAGTAAACATCTATTACAGGCAAAATAAAAGTTAAGCGTATGAAAGGGGCTGGATCTTTTAGGACCCAAAGTTACCCTTTGCCACAGGCACTATTGACAAACTCTATATTAATCAGAACATGCTCTGAATGACTGTAGGATACAGGATTGGCAGATCCTAAACAAAGAATATTAAATATTTACATGAGGCCAGTGGGGAGGTGCATGCATGGTGGGGAAGCCTGCGGCCAGCAGGGGTGTTTCATGCTCACATAGAATGCGGAGGAGGGAAATTGTTTAGGAAGACAGTGGAGAGGTGGGGCGGGGGGACAAGGGGAAGAAATATTTTATTCAGAAGGGGATTTGCATTTGAAGATTAGGATGGAGCTTGTTTATTGTAAGGACTTCCTAAGGTTTTACTGAATCCTGCTGTTTCCTTTTTAGAATGGAGATAACTCTGGACCTGACTTTCCTGATTCCTCCCTTGACATCCTCAAAGCTCTGGCTGGGCGGGGTGGCTCACTGTCATCCCAGCATTTTGGAAAGCTAAGCCGGGTGGATCACCTGAGGTTAGGAATTCGAGACTGGCCTGACCAACATGGTGAAACCTCGTCTTTACTAAAAATACAAAAATTAGCTTGGCATAGTGGTGGGAGCCTGTAATCCCAGCTACTTGGGAGACTGAAGGAGGAGAATTGCTTGAACCTGGGAGGTGGAGGTTGCGGTGAGCCGACACTGCACCACTGCACTCCACCCTGGGCAACAGAGTGAGATTACGTCTCAGAACAAGCAAACAAAATATCCTCAAAGCTCTGAAGTGAGCAGCCCGGTGGGAGCTGTGCAGCCCACACCGTGCCATGCTCTGTGCCATGCTGGTCAGTCACAGCACTTCGGCTGGCTTAGATGTATAGTCTGAGGGAACTAAGAAATTAGATATACAGGACAGTGTTTCAAAATACCATCCACTTCAAAAAACCCCAAAGCATCCGTAATACTTCTTTTCAGTTTAGAACTCATCTTCTTATCAAAAACATCTTGCATGTGATGACTGGAGCATAATAGATGCGTAAAACATACATGTGGAATGAATACATGAATGAGAGTGTGATGAATGAATGCAGTTTAAGAGAATTATCAGTGTTTTGCAGACGGTTCTCTTCTGTCCATGAAAGTATACGGTGGGTCGTTACACTGTGGCCTCTGAAAATCAGACCCACATTTTTTGAGTTCCTACACTGTCTGAGGCCCCGTCTGTGGTTACTTTCTCAGTAGAAATGAGAACACACGTGTTGGATACCTGGGCATGGAGATGGTGTGTTTTGCGATTAATGTTAACATGGTGTGAACCACAGTCTCAAGGACTAGAGAAGCCAGTGTGGCTGTAGAGGCTGAGAAGATTTTGTAAAAGAGGTGAACTGGAGGTGGCCTCAAAGGATTGCAGGATTTGCGGAGACACCAGGAGGAGGAAGAAACCCAGGGATGGGGTGGAGTGACCACAGGTGACCACAAACATTGGGTGAGAGGAGCAGAACTGGGTCAGGGTGTGTGCCGCGACACGGGAGTGAGACACGCCACGGCCTTTATTTTTCTAGGTCGGATCAAGCTCTTGGAGCCCTGGAGTTGGTGAGAAATGGAGCCTGGCCACGCATTCTCGTGTTCCCACCCTCCCTAAGGTTGGCTCCAGATGGCCAAGGTCTATCACAGCCATGGCTCTGGTGCTTTTGTCCGAGACTGGCCAGTCCAGCCAAGGAGTGTGGCCGCCTTCCTTCCAGCCGCACAGCAGCTGCCCTTCAGCCACCTCTCCAGCATGACTCAGCACAGCCCACTGTGGTGGGCCTCGGTGCTCCTCTGTGTCCACTTCCAGACATTCTGCAGCTGTCGGAGCCTCTGCTGAAGACACAGAGGACTGCTTTCCGCTGCTCCCACGGGCTCACTCAGCCTTTGCCTCTCTATCCTTCCCTTCCCCTTGAGTGGCAGGGATCCTTTCCATCCGGGCTTCTGTGCATTTGCTGCTGAATCCTCCTGGAAAGGTTTTGCTGCTTCTCCTTGCCTTGCAGTTGATCACGTCCCCCTTGGAAGCTCTCTCTGGACCCAGTGTCCCACACGTCCCCTCGTGCCCTCATGAGATCAGATGCCTGCCCACCCAGTTCCCGTCTGTTCCTTTGCCACGTGGATGCCCCCAAGATCAGGAATTGTGGATGATTCGGCCCTGATTGTATCCCGAGCACCAAGCCCGGAGTCAGGAATGGAGGAGCAACTCTGCACCGTTTCTTAGATAATTAGCAGTACTTACAGCAAAGAGCAGTGGAGAGGAGGAAATAAGATTCCCTCAGCCAGGGACGTGGGGGACGAGTCAGAACCCAGAGATGCTCCCAGGGAAGAGATGGTGCTGCCAGCAGCTTGTGTTAGTTGAGCCTTCTCTGAAGCTACGCAATCCTCCAGATACTTGAACTCTCCCTCCCCCAGGCAGGTCCCACCCTTGTCCTCCTTGTGCAGTTTAGGGAGCAGACACTGGCAGAAGCTTAGTCACAGCCCAAGGCTCCCATCCTGTGAGTGGCCCTGTGCCCGTCCATCTCCCAATCCCACCCTAGACAAGGCTGTGGGGACCTGCATGGGGTGCTGGTGGCAGCTGGAGAGCAGAGCAGGGCATGGGGGAGGAGGAACGCCTCACACAGGGAGTAGGTAGTGCGGGCGGCCGCAGGCAGCTGTGGGGCCCCTCCAGTCTCGGCTTCTGATTCCCCCAGGAGGAGGAGTCCATGCTCAATGTACGGCAGGATGGGGCAGGCATGGGCAGGAGATTTGAGGGAGATCAGGTGGATGATCGCAATCATAGCTAGTGCTTACACAGGGAGTGACTGCAGGCCCTGTTTGCCCAAAACCATCCTGTCCGCACCTGTCATCTCAGGGTGACTGCAGGAGTCCCCTCCCGCCTCCTCACCCCTGGTTTGCATGCTGGGTGCTCGGCCCTGCTCACAGCACTTCACATGCACGTTCCATGTCACCTTGCTCATCCACCCTAAGCCACTGGTGCAAGGGCCTGTGTGGAGCGGGAAGGGTGGATGAGCCGTGTTGAGGACTCTCTTGAGGTTGTAGACCTTGGATGTGTAGTGGCCCCAGAGTGACCACAGCCCATAGTGGAAGGCTCAGCACCACTTGGTCTACAGGGTGGAATCGGGGGAGGCTGAAGGGACCCCAAGGCAGGCTGCAAGCCCAGCAGGATGAGGACTTAGAAAGCAAAGGAAAAGAGGAATTTAGAGATATCTCAAGCCCTGCCCTCTCCTGCCCTCTGGCTGAGTAGATGCTGGTCAAACCGGCTGCAAGATGGATCCACAACAGAACCACCATTTATAGCATCTTTCCTGTTTTCAGATTATCTGTGGCTTTGATAAAATTAACAAGGTGGGGATTTGTTGGCAGCTCTGAGTTCCTGTCTCCCATGTGCTGTGGCAAAGGCTGATCATAGCACATGTTGCAGATAGTTTTGTTTAACCCACAGTGGAGACAGTTTATATATATATATACACACACACACACACGCACACACACACACACGCATATATATATATTCACCCCCACCCCAAAGAACGACGACTTTGACAAGGATGAGGTTGAACAAACATTTATTTATCGCTTGTTTTCATAGGGCAGATGGAGAAGCAGTTTTATGCTCAGGGAAGAGAACTGATTTTAAAAGCTTACGTACTGGGATATTGTTACCAAGTCCCACTCAATGTTGTGTTATTAACCAGATGGTAAATGTCTCATTTAAATGTCCTTTATTGAACATCTGGGGAAACGGTTTCTGAGCCATGTTTTTGCTCATTGCTCACTGCGATGGGGGTGATTCTGTTGGGATGGATGTTGTTGCTGTTAACCTGCAAGTGTTCCCGGTTCAGACCCCGTCCTGTGGTTTAATCAATGTCTGCAGGATGACAATGAGTTGCCATTTACGAGAAATGTAATTGCAGATTTTGGAGGCCCCAGCATTCCTTTCAATGCTTATAGTTTCTGGAAAAGAAGAAAATTTGTTCTGTAGATGTTGCATATTCGTGTTACACATTGCAACTGCATTGCACGTGTGCGGCCCCGCTGAGGAGTGTGGGCTATTTAGTTACGGCCACCGCTGAAGATCGGTGCCACTGATAGATGGCAAGTGACAGCAGGCAGGGGAGAGCGTGATTTTATGTGATTCTTTGAATTTTCTCATATCATTTACAGCAAAATATAAAATCCCAACTACCAAATTTAAAACTAAAAAGGGAAACAGGCAGGGCACGATGACTCACGCCTGTAATTCCAGTATTTTGGGAGGCTGAGGTGAGCAGATCATTGAGATCAGGAGTTCAAAACCAGTCTGGTCAATACAGTGAAACCCCATCTCTACTAAAAATATAAAAATTAGCCGAGTGTGGTGGTGCACACCTGTAATCCCAGCTACTTGGGAGGCTGAGGCAGGAGAATCGCTTAAACCTGTGAAGTGAAGTGGAGGTTGCAGTGAGCCAAGATTGCACCTTTGCACTCCAGCCTGGGTGTTGCAGTGAGATTCCGTCTCAAAAAAACAAACAAAACAAAACAAACAAACAAACACAAACCAGTTCTTGTTAAGATAAGAATATTGTTAGCTGTGGAAAGAGAAATGCTCTCCTTCACCTATTTCTCTGTTGAGGGCAGCCTGAGCATGCGACTGTCCTGTGACACACCTTCGTTTGGGATGCTGTGCCAGGCCCCGGGCTCCCCACTTTCCCACGGTGGAATCCACATGTGCATTTTGTAGTCATCTCTTTTACTCACAGTTTTCCCTCTAGATGCAAATGTGTCTCCATGAGGAAGAGCAAGGCTCCTGCAGAAAGGAGATCAGATGGATTGGGGATCCCACAGAGAGAACCTTTTGCCTGACATGGGCACCCTTGGGAGAGACCCCTCCACGCAAATCTTCCTTGCAAGGAAACACTCTTGCCTCACTTTCTTCAACCCAGCCATGACCTCCTTTCCTGGTGAGAAACTGTAGGAAGAGTTGGATCTCTGGCGTGTGTGTGTGTGTGTGTGTGTGTGTGTGTGGTCTGATAAGAACTCTGTAGCCTCTTCCTTCCCGGGTCAGCTGCTCACTGTGTCCCCAGACGAGGCTTTAACCCATGAGTGCCCTGATGGCGCTGCTGCCCCTGGCCCTGCTCACCTGGCCCCTTCCCAGTCTCTCTCCGGAGGAACAGGGTTACACCAGGGTGACAGCATCTGCCTGTCCTCCTTCTGCAGTGGTTCATCCGCAGATGTCGACTGCACACCGCAGCCAAAAACGATTCTGCAAAGACTACAGCCTCCCGCGAAACTGAGGCTTAATGATGCAGAACTCCACGTTTCCTGCCCTCAACTTGTCATTGTTTTCCTTCCCAGAACCCCCAGCACCCCTGACACCGACCTGGATCTCTACCCCAGAAACTCAAAACCCATTTTTGCCACACTGTCACACTCGCTCTCCTTCACTCCCCTAACCCAGGTCCCCGTTTCTCTGCACCTGTGTTCACCACTGAGAATCCCTCCCATTAAGTCGCCTCCTCCGTTCCGCCTTCTCCAGACCCCGTTGGCCCATGCGTCTTTGAACTTTTGCAGAATTTGCATCTGTAACAAATTACTTGCTATTTAATTATGTTCTGTCATATTATTCCTGTTGAACTTGGCCAAGAACCACGCACTCCTTGAAGGCAGAAACTGTCTTTGTTGTTCCGTGTCCTGATTCAACCCAATAGCCCCAGAGCACGTCTGCAGGAAAGGCCTTCCAAGCTCAGGTCATCAAGCTCCTCCCAACTGCACTCTTTTACTTCTGTTTTTCCAAGTCGATTTTTTTTTTTAAAATTACATGAAATCATTATTAAAAGAACTTTTTATCACCTCCAGAAATGGAACACTGTATCATTTGCCATCAGTAGAAGTTGGCTGTAAAAGCAAATTCCATGTAAACAGAACGATGCTGTTGTGTTCTGCTTCCTCAGTGTGAGACCTGCTCTTTCTCCCTTGGTCATGGAGACTCCAAGTTCTAAAGACATACTAGGAACAGACTACAGCTTTCATTGTATCCCGAAGAGAGACACAAAACCACCGGAAAAGTGAACAACTTCCTCACTCTGTGACTGGCAGCTGTTGAATCCAGTGAACAGGCACCACCAAAGATCACCCTCAGCCCACACCTCAGGACCCTCTGGCACAGACCCCAAAAACTACCACTTACTGTGTGAGCTCCAAGTAACAAGTTCTGAAGATTATCTTTTTTAACTCACTCTGGGGTGAGTTCTCTAAGGAAGAACCCATTATTATTCTACTTTCCAGATGAGGAAACTGAGCATAGCAGGAGAAAGAAGCTTGACCACATCCACACAGTAGTAAGTGGCTAAGTCAGGACCCAGTGAGGATAAACAGTCATCCTAAGTTTTATAAGATAGAAAATTTAATTACAGGGACTTTGTAGATGGTAGAAGAGCCAAAAAGTCAGACAAGGGACACTGAGGCAACCCTGGTGTCCACAGCATCAGGAAGTGGCTACCAGCTCTCGAATGCACAAGGAAGGAGGCAGTTGTCAGAGCCCAGGAATCAGACTTACTGGAGGGAAGCTAGAACCAGGCTGGGTCTCTGTGGCAGGAGCTGCCTTGTAGAAGGAAAGAGCCTCCAGGCAAGACAGCCCAACGAAGAGAGGCAAGAAGCCCACCCAGACTCCTGTACACACCCGTGTCCCTCCAGGCTTCACATTGGTCCAACCTAGTCAGAAGCCAGAGACACAGGAACCCAGGGCTCATAGCCTGCAGAGGCCAGACCCCCACGATACAGGGCAGAGCAGGGATGGATGGGAGTGGGGGGATGCTCTGAGACCACTAGGCACAGGCTCACGCAGGTGGTCTCATTCTGGGATCCTTTCACTCACATAAGCCATGTTGTAGTTGACTATTGGATTTTATGAGATGAGGGTTCATGTGTGTTCTTCCTCATTCCAAGAAGAGGTGGGTTCTTCCTACTTCCTAGCTACCTGGAGCTACCTGATGATTTCTTCTAACATCTAGGAAGTCCCTGTAAGTAAATTTTCTGTTTTAAAACTGTTTAACGTTGTCTGAAGACAATTTTTCCTCCACTCTTTCAAGCCCATTGAAAAGGTAGTGCAACGTGTCCCGGAGTGAAAGAGGTGAAGGGGAAGTGGAATTGTGTTTCTTAGATTGAGGACAGATCTGAGGTTCACGGAGCCTGTGGGCAGGGGTTACATGCATGTCGCTCCCTGTCTGCATCCCCACGAGGAGGCCAGGCCTCCTCAGGGCCCGTGAGTACATTTAAAAGGCTGAGGCCCCGGCATCAGATAGTCTGTCTTGTCCAAGACTCCCAGCTCCACAGGAGTATAGGGCAGAAAGCTGCCAGACCACACACATAGTGGTGGAATGTCCGAGGCCCTTCTCCTGAGGTCCTGAGGTGGAAGAGGAAGCCTCAGAAGATGGGGAAGGGCCAGTAGCTGTGAGGTTCAGTCCTCTCCTGCCTGGTGGGTGGGACCTATGGAGTCAGAGTCAGGCTAATTTGAAGAAAATGAAGATGGGTTATTTCTCACCCATCTGATCTTGGGGGCTGAAATTCTTAACTGGCGGTAATGTGGAAAATGGGGGGATGACATGAGGTCAGTCCCCCAGTCTCTGCCAACCTGAGGGGCTTGTTTGAGTCTTAATGGCTGGAGATTGATGGGTGTGAGTTCATGGACCACTCATGAGACCCTGAGACGAAAGCAGACCACCACTTTGGCCAGGTGTGTGCACAATGCGAAACAAGACAGTGGCCCATCCCATACGACTCCTCCTACCCAGGGCAGGACTGCAGCCGAGGGAGTGGTAGGTGAGGAGCAGAAGAGGTGGGGCCTTGACGTGACCACAGGAGGCTGTGGGTGAGCAGGACCAAAGTCTCATTACCCTGAGAGCACAAGTAATAAAATCCTTGTGCTCTCCCCTGCCTAGGGAAGGGCTGGACACTTGAGATCAGTTGGATGGTTAAAAATTGAAGAGGACTTTTCTCTTCTTTCTTTTGACAACCAACTTTAGGCTGCAGACAGGTCCCCATGTCTGTTTCTTTTGTTATTCAGTTCAGCAAGCCAAGAAAACATGAGTTTCTTGCCCTGAAAATCCAAGCTGTACCATTTCCAAAGAAGCAGTCATTAGAAAAGAATAGGGTCTCTTAGGAGTTTAATTCCAGGGCCCAGAGCAAAGAAACATGCTGTCAGCTTCCACCTTGTTGAATAAACGCCTTCTGAGTCAGACTACTTTTCCATGGAAGCCAACCGCTTTCCGAATTTCCTGCAAGGGTCTTGGCCATGAACCTCGGTAGCACTTATCTCAGAAGGTGACTCAGGTACCGGGACAGGGCTCTTGAATTCCTGAGGGTGGTGATGAGCACACAGTGCTGCTGGTCCCCTGTCACTGTCTATCTGTCTGTCTGAGTTCCTCCTCTGTATGTGCCACCGTGACCTGCCCTAACAGGCTTACCCAGCCCTGGGTTACCCCACTTTGGAGAAATAGAAGGAATTTGGGGGATGATTCTTATGACTTGGGCAATGATGAAGAGTGGCGGGGGCCCTTGACATTGTATCTCCTGGAGTGATGTTCTTAGACTCCAGAATGGAAGTGAAACACTCAGCAATGAGCAGAAACCACCCACGTTTTGATTTGAAGATGGTCCATCTCATTTGACAGCACTCCTCTGACCCACTGGGCAAGTTCTTGGAAATGTCCCAATTCTTGGGAACTCTGGGTAATTGTGCTGACAAAGCTGATGCAAAGAAATTAAGGGGAATCCCAGGCCTGTACAGGAAAACAGGATAGTGTTGCTGGTCTCTTACAAGGACCAGTCATTATAAGGACACAGTTGTACGTGGAGGCTCTGGAACTGCCCTTGTAGTGTCTGTGAACCTTCATCTGCCTTAAGACCCTTGAATAAAATTTGTCCTTTGCACTTTTAAAACCGATAAGGGCTTTCGTCGCTGGGAAGAGGAAAGCCAATTTGTTGGGGAAGAATTATTCAGAACTGTCTCCCAGGCCTCGAAGGATAAAGGAAGAGCATTTGCAATTTGAACAGAAGGCACTGAAAGGCCGCCTTTTAGACTCTGAGATGTGAGAGGTTGATGCACTCTCAGTCTGCCTTCCATTTGCATTTTAACTGCCGGGCAAAGCCATTGTGAACAGGAAGGGCCCCGCCCCTGCACATACTGGCCAGGCAGCTGGACACTCTGCCCCATTGTTGGCAGGTGTTTCTGAAGGGCGCCATGAGTTCAATGCTCTTGTTTCAGTTTCTTTTGGTATGTTAACATCACCTCCTTGTGAAAGAATTTGGTCTATTATTTGACTCATGCAAATAGAGAAATAGAATTCCAAACCATTAGCCTACTTATTAAATATTTATAATAAGTAGCTGGGATGAAAATACCTGTTCTATAGGTATGTCACATGGAGACAGATAAACCAAG